TCACGGGGTTTTNTTTTAATAATCTATATATTCAAGATGAAAGAAAGCAATCTTATTTAGATTTTTTGAGTCTCCTTTCCATGGAAGAGGCTGGTCTACCCATTAACTATGTTGTTATCAGAATTTACTTTGACGACACATGCTGGCATCAAAATCACAACAATGGTTGCGTTGGTTCCTCCAAAATCTCCTTCGGCAGATCCTGATGTATGTGTTTTCTATGTCTGGTAGGTTCTACCAAAATTCCAACCAGAGAATCTCGAGCATAATAAAAATCTTTATGAGCGGGTTAGCGAAATGGCTGCAAGGAAGGGATGCACCCCATCACAACTAGCATTGGCTTGGGTCCATCATCAAGGAAATGATGTGTTTCCGATTCCAGGTACAACCAAGATTGAAAACTTCAACCAGAACAATGGAGCTTTGTCTGTAAAGCTAACACCTGAAGAAATGGCTGAGCTTGAATCCATTGCTGAAGCAGTTAAGGGTGATAGATATCCACCCACATTTCCTACTTGGAAGACTGCAAACACTCCGTCCTTGTCCTCATGGAATGTTGAATGATGGCATTTCTTTTTCCATGTGAAAATCATGTCATGCCTTTTTTTCAATAATATCCGTGTTGCTCTTAAGTGAGTTCTCTTTTTCAACCTTGTCTCAGTAAAATAAGACCTCCTGAATGACTATATGAGGAGAGTCGTTTGTCAATTGGTGATTTATTAGATGCTTTAATATGATATCAAAGTTACATTTCGGGCGGTCTTGGTATTGTCGATTTTCTATTTTATTTATTTTGTATGGATTTCTTTCATTTGTGCCATAAATGCTCATTGTTATATTTTTGTTTAGATGACTGGATTTTTCTTTGTACATCTCCCTCTGCTATGGTGTGAGTGTTCGTAGAGTACTTGAACTAACAACCAGTTGCAAAGCAAGTCACATATGGAAATGGTTTGAAATTAGATTTCTGCAATGCTAATACAATTAAGAAGCGAGTACCAAATTTCGATGAGTAATCAATACAGATCCATACTAGTTCAAGTCGAACAGAACTATCAATACAATTTGTGAAGGCTCATTATAGGCAACAAAACCCAACAAAAACAGATACAAGTAATATAACCACATAGAATGCATCAAGTTTTAATGTAAATACATAGTGTATGTCCTATAGGGGACTAGTGATTGAGTTATGAAACAAGAAGAATCCATGCTCACCCTCAAACAAACAACAACAACTCAATCCATTCTATGTTTTAACACGCCTTAAAATCGTAGCTAAGCAACAAATATGCTGAAAATATATGATTGAAACTCTTTAAAACTGTTGAGAGCAAACATTTACTTCATTGCAAATGATTTCATTTTCTAATAATGTATTGGAAATAATATGGGAAACCAAATGCACTAATGAGTAAATGAAACATACCCCCATACCAAAACTGAACATCTTGCTGAGTGCAAAAGGAACTCATGGCAAAACCAGAACCTACACGTACTGTTTCTAATTAACAAGGAAAATCAGCTACAATAATTGTAGCATCAAATGAAACGGCCCATGATTTGGCAGTAAGGTTATGATGGGATAATTCCCAACGGCTGGCTGAGCCGCTAAGCTGCACTAACGATGCTGGAAATGTACTCAACAAGGAATCTGGAAATTTAACAGCAGGCTCTATGACTGAAAATCGTATACACGTACACATAATGGGTATATGCCAATATCAAAATAGATATTGCAATCGTCACATGTGGAAAATTTTATATACTTAAACTTCTTGCCTATTCAATGTTATATACATTTCCAATTACATTCTGGAGTTAAAAAACAAATATTAATAGGAACTAGTTCATGACTTCAAAGCTTCTGTTCAATCTCCCCGGCTTTCATGCACAGTATGTAGCCATCCCTCTACGTATGTGTGTCTTCATCATAGATGGATGATTCTCTTGATCCAGAACTGATTATCAGTGGCAATGTTTCAAGACCTCTGATTTCGGATTCCAAATTGTTAATCATCAAGTCTCCAGGCAAACCACTTCTCCATTCCTCCATGTCAAAACACAGATCACTTTGAAGGAATGTGTCCCTTTGTCGTAAATCGATGATTCTACTCCAGGAGTGATTGTCAAGGACGATGTTGCAAGAGGTATGCTCCATTCCCCCATATTAGAACACAGATTACTTTCAAAAATCTGTGTCTTTGTCCTACAATGATGATTTTGATTCGGAAGTGACTGTCGAAGGCAGTGTTCCAAGAGGCACGGTTCTAGATGCCGCATTATCCATATTCATCAGGTTTTCAAGCAGACTAGTAACGGTTCCTCTATGTTTGAACCTGTAGTGCTCCAAGAACCTGTGTGTGGTGGTATATCATTTATTTCGATCCAAAACTCTTTGTCCTATATTCTACAATGTCAATCACGGGGTTTTTTGGAAAACTGCTTCTGAACTGATAGCCAATGGCGATGTTAGGTATGATTATATATTTCACATTATAAAGCATCAGGTCTTTAGGTAAACCATCCACATTGTCAATCTCAATCATCAGGTCTTTAGGATCAAAACAAAGATCACTAGAATCTCTGCTGTTTCCCATAAATTGGTAATTCTACACACAAACTATTTGTCAATGGCAATGCCCCAAGAGGTATGGTTCTAGATTCCACGTTGTTATCGATGTAGTGGTTTTCCATAGGTTGAGTTCGTTCTTTCTATGCTATCAATATTTTCATCCTCATTCTGTTGAATTTGGCAAACTACTAAGTTCATTGCAAAATATTCAAACTTAAAGTAAGCTGTTTGTTGAAATTAAAACCTAATAGAGTGAGTTAAAAAATTGAGAAGTTGAGGGACTCTAAAGTGACACAACTCAAAGATTGGAGGCCAAACTGACACAAAGTGTAAATCTAGGGACTAAAAACATATTTTATTCTTTTTGCTAAATTCTCTAGTGCTACTAAAGTTTTTAGTGAGTGGAATTTGGCGCATTTCAATTTTTGGGCATTCGACAATTGGTTCATAAACGTCTTGAAAAATTGAAAACCCACAAAATTGGGAGCCGATAACACTGTTGCTGCCATGACAATCAAAATTCCATTGATAAAAAATTTACGATGGCCAACATGGAGAGTAAGGGTGTAAATTCTGACCGGTTGATACGAATTTGACATGAATTTGATGTGCAAGATTATTAAATACGTATAATGAATAATTTATACTAATATTTTAATACACCACATGCGGGTCACACGAACATGAAACGATTGACACACTGAAAGTATTTCTAACTCTGACTCAAATTTAGATTTAAATTTAAACTTGAGTTAAAAATTGCTCAGAAAACTTCTCTAACCTAAGACCCAAACCTATATCAAATTAAAGAAAAATTTATTCTAAATCTGAATTGAGAAAGACTCAAATTCTATATTAAATTTTCAATAATAACTTTTTACCTTATTTAAAACTAAAAAACTCATTCGACGGAACAAATTCTTGCCTCTCCCTACCTCTATCTTCAAAGACGGTCCCATCACTGACCACCCCAAAACATTCTGAAAGACTAGTAGATAAACGTCTTCTCTTTCACTATCCATCGGATTGTTTGATTAATTGTTATCGTTGATTTTGGTTGATGGATTTTGGATACGTGTGCAACCTAGGTGGGTTAATTTGAATTCAACCCCGAAAAAAATAGTGGTATAGTTGAGGTTTTTAGGATTAGGGTTAAGGTTGAAAAGTTTCAACCCAAATTGAATTTGGGCAAGATTAAATTTCACGAGTTTAATCCGAACTCAATCCGAATTGATGCAATCGGGCTCAACCCGAATTCATGTGCTATATATAAATAAACAATATAATAATAAAAAATACATATTTTGTAATAATTATATTATTTAAAGGGAAAGTGAAACATAATTTATAAGAATTATAGATGGTGAAAGAAGTTTAGACAAACCGATGTTTGATAATTAAAAAAAAGCAAAAGCTTATTAAAAAAAAAAAAAGTAAAAAAGGCAACTCGCCCCCTCAACTTGTGTAAGTTACACCCCTAATTATATTATATAAAAAGTATAAGTACGATATCAAAAAATTCTTTTTACAACACCATAACTAGACATGTATATATAACATGTATCACACCATCTCACTGTCAAGTTTTTTGATGTATCTGTATAACTGATTATAATGATTCTCATTTATGAAGTGAGCTTTGCAGACTACAGATCGGTCATACACAATCTCATGGTGGAGTTCATAAAGTTGATTAATCAAATCTTCTCATCCTCTTCAGGTGCGCGGCAGTAGAAAATAATGCAAAACAAAATACAACCAAATAAATAAATAATCCACAGAAAGTATGCTTTGGATTCAAATAGTTCTTCAAAATCTACTTCAATACGGAACGAATAGACGGTTGTTACCATAATAAAAAAAAAATTTCCGATACAGGATACTATTGATTCAAAATGTTACAAGCAATTCTAATCAACTCCATTGAGTCATAATTTGAATCCGAATTGGATCCAATTAAATCTTGACTTGTGACATGGGAATCAGAAGTTGCGTTTGATTGAGTTGTCTTTCAGAAGTTTTTTTTTTCTTTTTTCTTTTTTTTTTTGGCGGGTCCCAAGTATGGAGGTCTATGGAGAAAGGATCGGGGTAATGTAATGACACCCGATGGATTTTTATGTTCTCCTGAGCCGGGCTCACCATCTCCATGGACTGAAACAAGTTTTCGGTGTAGATAAGTAGGTGAAGGAAACAAGAATGAGTGCTATGGCCTAAGATTTGGAGATCCTTAAGAACAAGTTGGGTATTAGGATTNCATAATTTATAAGAATTATAGATGGTGAAAGAAGTTTAGACAAACCGATGTTTGATAATTAAAAAAAAGCAAAAGCTTATAAAAAAAAAAAAGTAAAAAAGGCAACTGGCCCCCTCAACTTGTGTAAGTTACACCCCTAATATATAACATGACATGTATATATAACATGTATCAGNCTACCTTGTAATCATCATTGGTGGGATCTAACCCGAATCCAAAGCCGCAGTGACGAGGGATCCAGTCACGCGGAAATAATTTCGTGCACCACAATGGCAGAGCCCTGAATGCTCTTGTCGCGGGATTCCACATAGCAATGCGATCAAGTCCGTCACATAGGCAAAAAACACCGTTAATAGGACCACCAAGCCGATTAAATACGGGGAAGGATATCCCCATATTGTGATATGTGGGCACCGTAAGTGTTTTGTCCGGGAACAAGACGATGTGCCCCATGTCCCTAAGCTCATTGTGATAGTATACAACCATACGGGCATTGCCCTTGTTGTGTTTTAAATGAATGGAAATGAAAGCAGGACTATCTATTAGATTTTTCCAAAATTTGCAGACACACCTGAATTGCAATAGAGATTTCACAGACATTCTTGACAATATTATGCCTTCCTATCGAAAAAAACTTGAATATTTTCAAGATAAATCAGAATTATTATCACTATATATACGATAAGGTGGTGTGGTAGATTATTCCGGAAGCATAACCCTTTGTATAATAAACAAAATTTTCATGGTAGTTGGATTTAAAACCTTATACGCATATCCTGGTATCATAATTTATAAGTTGATTGGAGTTCATAGTTCTCAATACTACTTGTCAATATAATTATTCTTGTTTCTTATTTGGCAAATAATCCAAGACTTGGCGCTGAATCTTTTTGTTGATAATAAGCATCACTTATTCCAAGGGAATGCCATTTGATTCATGCCTCGTCACAACTGAGCTCACAAGGGAATAAAAAATAATCATTTATTTGCTATTGTAGCACAACCTAACGGAGCAGACATACCAGAAGTGTGTTAAAGGACTCTTCTCTGCTTTTTCCTCTTGGGTTATGAGCATTGTAATGGTACCATCAAATTCATCTTTTGGGAGACAAATAACCAGATGATTGTGCTGAAATAGCATTAGGGTGACGTACTAATTTCAGTTATAGTGAAATACAAGTTATGTTGTGGTTGCATGTGGTGTGTTCTCTAAATCATATGGCATGATTAAGAGTTACTGTGTCGGAAAATTAACTACGTGCGGGGATAAATGATGTGAAATTTGTGCAGATGTATTACTTAGAGAGTGCAGTGTAAAATTAGTGGGGCGTGTTTTAATCAGAGGGCGCAGTGGTAGCATTTGNTGTGGTGTGTTCTCTAAATCATATGGCATGATTAAGAGTTACTGTGTCGGAAAATTAATTACGTGTGGGGATAAATGATGTGAAATTTGTGCAGATGTATTACTTAGAGAGTGTAGTGTAAAATTAGTGGGGTGTGTTTTAATCAGAGGACGCAGTGGTAGCATTTGACTTTCTGATCGTTAAAAATTTGGGAAAATTTTGTAAAAGACGGAGTTTGTAATTACCCTGTTCCTATAAGTAAGCGATCAAATAGTGCGGGGTTCAAATTATAATTAGGTGCATGGAATACAACTTGTAACATTTAATTAAAAACAATACCATTATGACAAACTGTATTCGTAATTCCATTTGGCAAGTTGTAAGGCTTGACTTTGCCAGCACAATTCATATAGTCACTTGTGGATTGTGTGGATTATTCAAGAAGAGGGGGGGCAGCCATATAAGGTGTCTCCATGTGACTATACTTGTGGTAAAGATGATTAACTGCTACTATAGTTGTGGTAAAGATGATTGATGCAAACACAGGCTTTATTATCTCATGGAGTATGTTGTATCAGCAGATCATAGTTTATTATGTCTCCATATGTTGAAATATAGCATAGTTCTATGCTGGATTGTATTCTGTAGTTCTATATTTTGAATCTAAATGTAGTATTGTTCTGAATCTACTTTTTTTTTGCTCCTTTTATGATCGGGGATCCGAGGAATGGCTTCATTAGGATTTTGGTTGTTCATGAGTTTTCCTGGTTTTTTTCCTTTGTTTTGGGGGTGGGGGGGGGGGAGGGGGGG